TTTTTTTTTCTTTCTTTTTTTTGTATTTTAAGGATAATTTTTTGGGGAGGGTTGGATGGTCGGGACGGATAGTGGGCACAACTTACTCGCTATCAGCTCATTCCAGGCGTCGTCCAGCTCAGGCCGGGGAATCCCCTTGTACTTCAGATTCTCGGGCTTGGTGGTGTAGAACTCGTCGTCGAGAATCTCAAGATGGTGTTTCACGGCTCTGGCTGTGATGTCTGTTTTCGCCGGGCATCACCTGCAATTAGCTGCCACCCAGCCGCTGGAGTTCAACAAGCATACAACGAGACAGTTGCATAGGGACGAGCATAACGAGAGTTCGTAGTCCAGATTCTAGCGACCAGCAGATACCAGGCTGGAATCGGAAGTGGAGTTGGAGGCAGAAAGTAACATACCATGCGTAGGCAATTTCGGCAGCACGCTCGCTCCAGACCTGTACCCAAGCTTGTACATCATGGGTAGCAGCGCCCACGGCAACAGGATCAAGACGGTCAAGAGAGCTTTGTAGGTTGAGCTGAAGGCCTTTTGGAGAGGGAGCTTCCTGGGGGCGTCTTTGTACAGCGGCGAGCTTTCGTCTTTCTCGAGGTCATCGGTGTCGCTGAGGAGGGTGTCGGTTGAGAGGCTGGAGCGATAGTCTTGAGAGAGGGAGGAGGGGGAGGAGTAGTTGTCTGCATCGTGTTGAAGGGGGGTGCAGGACGGTGTAGATGAAGGGGAAGGGAAAGGCATTGTTGGTGAGTGGGTGTCTCAGTGAGAGATAGGTAGGTAAGTAAGTGCTTGGTAGGTAGGTAGGTGGGTGGGTGAGGAGATTGAGGATAGATGAGGAAGCGAGTTATTTTGTGATGTAACGTGATTTGATGCGATGTAAAGTAATATGAAGAAGCGGTAGAGGGTACCTCGACGGGATGTAGGGAGAGGAGGAGAAGAGGAGCGGAGACTGAGGTTTCTTCCTCGCGAGGAACAGTGGCAACACTGAATCTGATATTATCATGCATGGATCCATGGATACGGGGCAGCTAGGTATCCTTCATCGCACGGCAGTATATACTTCTGTTGTTGCGCTGAACTGATCCATAGTGCCTGCTTGATCTTGGGTCGTTGAACTTGCCAGCTCGCTTGCTTGCTCGCTTACTCTTCTGCACGTTTTGATTCATGTCAATGAGCGATATACCTATCGACCCATACTCTTAAAGTGTATTCACTCTACTCTCCCATCGGCCGATAGGTCTACAACTCCGTATACCGTGTAATCGCAGAGTATCACCAGGTACTTCTACTGCATGTATCCACCGTTCACTCTTTTCTTCGTCCTTGTGCATTCAGCCGTGGCATTGGCGGGTGGTCTCTCTGGTTCTGGGAAAGGGCCAAAGGCTAATCCCGTCTCTGGGAGTAGGCTGAGTTAACATTTACCTCACACCTTCATGCAAAGCAGATCTACAACGTAATGATATCTTGCAATCCTTGCAATTCTGTCTACGGTCTCGCGAATATCTTTCAACTCGAGGTGGGCCATCAGAACATGCTTTTAGCGCCTTTTTGGGCGTCCAGTTCTGGTCCAATTCTCTCCGGATCCTGCTTATTTGATTGGCTTCATTCCTTGCCAAACTGGGCCCTCTCTTCTACGAATATGGTGCTGACGGCTTCTGGATAAGCCGAGTACAGCTATATCGTCGTCGACGCAACTTTGGCTGGGTCTTTGTTATATACATCCAATTTTTCTTATGGGTAAATGTAAATGGAAATGGGAAGGAAGTTCACGGCGAGGGGCGAGAGAGTATTGCCGATTGGCGTCCATCCAACCTTGCGCGTGCTACAGCGCGTGATCGGTACGACAGCGACATTGCTGGCTGGCTGGCTACCAGCTGGGCCGGAGTAAGCGTTTACTTATCGAATCAAGTGTTTACATTATACGGAGCAAGCCTTCTCGCTTAAGATCAAGAGGAGAACCCTAAAGCGCGGCATCGCATGCATTCATGCACGTCGATCTTGGCTGGATTCCTTTCTTCTGCTGCAGTTCGTATCCATATTTTGACTCTATCTTTTGGCGTTTCATTCATGACCTCTCAAGGCATGTTTTGGCGAGACTTGACTGGACCGGATTGGACCGGATCGGGTCGTATCCTCGTAGTATCGAAGAGCGGATCTGCCACAAGCAAACATACGGACATACCAGAGGCCCACCGCTCATGCGTGGTGCATGGTGCGGTGAAGAAGGAAGGAGAGAACTGCATACGAGGAGTAGCTGCGAGCTGAGTATCGGAGAAAGATGTCGTCGACTCCCGAAACCATATCTATTCTCTCCCAATATCGCGTCTGCAAAGTTTCCCTCTGTTGGCGGCGGTGAGCTGCTGCTCGGGTGGAGAAAGTGCGCATCCACTTCGACCGCAGGTACTATGTTGGCCGCACGAGCAAGTAGAATCGCAGCAAGAGTTTTAATGAGATGGGTTCTAATGTACAACTAACAAGATCCATTCTAATATACAATTGACGAGCCTTTTAATGAAATGAGTTCTAATATACAATCAACGAGCCACTCCCTTCAGATTATATCAGTCCGTACTTCTAGGATCTCTGTCAATATTCCATCCCTTCCAATGAAGGGTTTCTTCCGTGTGCTCATCTTGCTCTTCATCTGTTGGCCAGCACTGAGCCCAAAAACCTAACTTGTTTTCGTTTACCATATCAGTTGGGATGACCATTTGCAATACCGCATCGTTAACAGCGGCGTCGTCGGTAGGTGAAAAGCGTATTACAGTTTCCCGGTCGGCTCCTACATTTCGGAGGTACTGATCGATATATGCTTCGTTTCCGGTCCACAAGTCATCTTCATCATCGCTCCAAACAAATTCGTCGTTGTCTTCTGGGATCCATACTTTCTTTACCGCTGCCATATCGTATTTATCCGCTTTGACAACACAATACCATTCGCCAGACGTAGCTTCGAGGGCAGCAGGTTCGCTTACTATTTAGAGTATTAGCTCTTACGCGTAATAAAAAATAATCTATCCCGTAAATATGATCGAATAAACTTACCGAGATAATAGCCTGGTCCTATATCATTGGGAAAATTAAGTGGGTGATTGAAAAATTCAGTTTGGACAGGCCTATTATGGGTATTGATAAGCTCGGCTTCTTCCTATTTATGATTCGCGTAATTAGTATAATGAGCTTATGTGATACTTCGAACGGATAGTTGTAAAAAAAAAAAAGAAAAAAAAAAAAACACTAACTGGGGAAGCTAATCGATAGCCGATGAGTATTCTATTCTCTGGATCTTTTTCGCCTAAAGCTTTACTAAAAAGAACGCTCAAGGCCAGCGAGATTGAGATGATTGTAGGTTGCGATGATAGCCTCATATTTACGAATTGTGAAGAATCGTTGTTGGTGATGTAGAGCAAGTACGAGGAGGCGAAACCGTCAAATTGTCTGTAGAGGAAAATGGTGTGATGATGAATTGAGTCCAGAGTCAGTCCAAAGAGGAAATATATATCTTCGACGTTATATTCATCTTACTAATGTTGGCAGGAATATTTGGAAATTATCGTCGGGCTATAAATAATCGCACGGCCAATATCCGTATGTTGAAGACCACTTTATAGAACAAATCCAATTCATCGCTTAGTTTGTTATTCGTAATACTCTTCCAATCCTCTATTTTGATTTAAAAATACCAAACGTAACCGTGCGCCAATAGAGAAAGCTGTTTCTGCTAAAAAGAAGGAGAAAGGAAGGAAGGATAATAGTGGGGTCAATATTCGTATACCGAAGATCATCTTAAATGCCTGGTATAAAATCGAATTTAACGCTTAGCTCACTATTCATAGTTTTCTTGCAATCCTCTCTTCTGATCTGAAAAGACCAACGTAGTCGTGCGCTGATGGAAGGATTTTGCAGCCGAGTTATTAGTCAGTGCGCGGATTTGTACTGGCTTTTAGGTACTCGTGCGGCCATGAAGCCTGTCCCCACCGGTACTCTAAGGCGATAATCTTGGAGATAAAACGGTGCGCTGGAGTGCCTATTTAGTGCGAAGAGTCCTGCGGCTTATTTTTGGGCGATTTTCGCCGTGGCGGACAGACTTCATGGCCCGCACGAGTTAAACTCGGTAAGTTATCCTAAATGTAAACTCAGCGCCATAGCCAAGAGGTTAGTAGGTGACGATCACTGACCTCTCGAGATGCATATCTGTAACTATGAGTTATCTCAAGATGAGGAACTCTATTCGGCCTCGGTAGTTTGCCCTTGTCTTAGAGACAATTCCATGTCCTGGCCCTTGACTTGAGATACGGACTTTAGTGAACTGTGTACTGGTATTTGTGTACTTGTACATCCGGACTTTGATACGAAAACCTCGTCAATTCGCTGAATATGACCGTCGACCACTACCTATTGTACTACCTATTGTACTACTCTTATTATACTACTACTGATCTTCATCGGCGCTGTGTTCGTACGAAAATATCTATTCCGTACGGGCTGCAACGAAAATATTCTCTTATTTTCTCTCTCCTCAACGCAAACCAAGATCAAGTTGACTGGCCTTGTAAGATCCCTCTTTTCAAAAATACCTCAGTCGACTAATAGTGGGGATGAACTCAGGACCTTCGCATGTTGGGTCAACTCGGCTGCAGAATCCGGATGCTTTTTTCGCAGAGAGCTCATTCCTCTTATCTCGACTCTTCTCTAAAGTATAAGTGATGTAGTATGCTTCGTATTATGTTAGCAAAAAGGTCAATAGGATAGCTGGCTGCACTCATGACCTGGATAAGGCCTTGTTTTCGTGTATCACATGTTTTTTTTTTTTTTTTGAATAATATCGCATCTGCAGAGGTTCACTTCCAATGGCAGCGGTGAGCTGCGGCTTGCCTGGATAGAGAGTCCGTATCCACTTCGATCGCAGGTAGGTAACAAGATACGCTTTTCGCAGAGACCGTATTCCTCTCGGTCTCGACTCTCGTCTAGAGTCTGGGTGGTGGATGTGCTATACTCCACCTCATGTAGACGGAAAGGTTGATGGAATGGCTGGCTGCACTCATGACCTGAACGGGGTCTTTGTCTTTGCATTTTTGCTGCATGCTAGACACTGGGGCAGGTGATAACGGCGGTCGCAAACGCAGATGCAGAGGTACCTAGCACGAAATCGATATCGTGATCATCGGAATTCCGCTGGAGACATACGTGCGGGTGTGTATATAAGCCCAGCGGATTCCACTTCTTCACTATCCATCACAGCATCTCCAGCCGGTTGATCTTCTTATCCATCTCCTTCGAAAGAAAGACAAATCGAAAAACATCCTCGAAATCTCTACCCTTTTGCATACAAACAACAAAAGTCTCCCTCAAGATGAAGTTCACACTCGTCTTTACCGCCTTGATTGTCGCCGTTACGGCTATTCCCCTCTCTGCTCCGTAAGTCCTTCTTTTTTTGAGCCTTCCTCTCTCTCTCTCTCTCTCTCTCCTGACTTGGAGATCGCTGATGCTGAGACTTGCTATGCAGTGCCGAAAAGAGAGCTGCGCAAGACTCTGGCGATTTGCAGAAGCGAAAAGAGGATCGCGGCTTGTTCGCTGTTGACTGGAAGGACAAGAGGCAAACTCGCTGAGGATGATGCCTGGAAATAGAAGCGTCAAGGGCAGGACCATTGATGTCAGCGGGCTATAACTGGTAGTCGTCGGTCATCTCTTGCTTTTTCTTTCGGACTTGATTTGGGCACGCGGAGAGGAGAGAGGGTAGGGTGGAAGGGGAGGGAGGGAGGTGGGAATTTCTGATAGTGTTTGCCAAAGACTTCCTCTCACATCAGACTGCCTCTTTCAATGTCAACTCCGTGGTTCGTTCGTCACTTGGTGTAGGTAATGCCTCTTTCGTTCATCAGGTGATTTCCTTCTCTCGCTAATCCTTGGCCGCTATCTAAATCTCCCGAGGTTATTAATTGATATTCTCTCTCTCATTCTCTCTCTCATTCTCTCTCTCATTCTCTCTCTCATTCTCTCTCCCCCCCTCCCCCTCTCTTTCTCTCCCTCTCTTCGCTCTTTCATTCCAAAGACCAGCCCGCATACCGCATACCGCATACCGCAACCGCCGAGTCATCATCATCCCCGACTCTGCTCCAGGGAGGACTTGTGTTCGAGGGATCCAATAAAACAAGCATATATTTTCAAACAAGCTCGCGGCGGGTTGCGAAACAAGCTCCGCAGCGGGTAGGGGAGGGAAGGGAGAGGAGGGGGCGTAGGATGGATACATGATATGATATGGTACGAGATAATGTAAGATTATGAAAAATAGGTAGGTCTACGTGTACTTGTTTACTTACAGGGCAAAAGCAAAGAGGGTGAGAGGTAGGTATAGATAGAGCGAGAGGATACCAAGCCAGTTCAAGCCAGTCCAAGCCAAGTCCAGCCAGGTATTATCCTGATATATATGGATTAGAGCATGACTGCTTTCTTTGTTTCTTTCCTTCTTTCTTTCTTTCTTTCTTTCTTTCTTTCACTTCTTCTCTTGCATTCACCTAACCCGATAGCAAAATGCACTTCGATCACAGTTCACGTTCAGCCGTGGTGGCTATATGTCCATTTCTGTTTCCGTGTGGTTTCCCCTTTGCCCTGCCTTACCTTGTCTTGCCAGGCGACATGCAGGATTTTCAGGATTACAATTTCGCAGGATGCTGCAGAAACTTGACACGGCGTCAACTCCAATGGAGCGTGTCGTGTCGTTTTGTATCTGCTGTTGACACCGTAACGCGAAACGTGAATCGTTTGCGTTTAGGACACGTGGGGCTTTATGTCAGCTGATACTAATATCGCTTGGCAGGTCAATGAATGTGCTGACTGAGTCAGACGACACGTGGCGCCGAAAAAGCATGACTTGCTGCCATTGTCGCTGCCGATGATCAACAAAGCTTAAGTGGCATTATAGTTATTATGGTTATATGCTTTGTTGATCGGGCTTGGAGCCGAGAGGAGAGGGAGAAGAGATACTGGTATGAATGCCGCAGATCGAGATGGATTGATGGGATTGGCATATTGGCATACGGAGTCAGCCCGTCAACCAGTCAGTCAGTGAGTGGCGGCTGCGGTTCGGTTTCGCCGGTTTCGCCTGTTTCGCGTGTCCAAGCACAACCTCTGACCTCTGTCTTTCCTCTCCCTATTCCTCTCTTCTCTCAGCACCAGCACCAGCACCGGCACCAGCACCGGCCTCAGCCTCAGCCTGATACCGGTACCGCTCCGTCATGATGTCTCATCCCGACTGACTGGCTATGCTTCTTCTGACTCTCTCTCTCTGGCCCGGGCTCTCTCAAACCATCCCCTCCCTGCCTGTCTTGCTCTCTTGATCCTCTCGGTGTTTCTTCCATCTCTGGTCCAAGTCCAAGTCTACCGATTCCTTTCTCTTTCTCACCTTCTCACCTTCTCTCTTTCTCCCCTTCTGCATGTTGTGTTTGCCGACCAAGTAATACCTTCCTAATACTTAACCTGTTGATATTGGGAGTAGCAGCCACCGGTGCAAACACTGTGTACAGGTACGTTGTTGCTGCCTGCCGTTCCCTGGTGCGAGACGTACATCTACATCTACATTTACATCTGCATCTGCATCTGCATCTGCATCTGCTCTGCATCTGCTCTGCATCTACAGCCTGCCCCCGTTGTGTCGTCCACGCGCTGAAAAGACCCTTCGTTTCTCATCACAAGCTCGAAAACTCACGCTCCTTCACAGCACAGCTCCTCCTCTTCTACCGCCCAGTTCTCGGTCCCCGGGCTTCTGTCATTTCAGCAGGCTCTGAATGATATCTGTTTCTTAATCTACACAAACACACTCAGTTCGACACAAAATTGGAACAAAATTCCACGAGTAAGAGGGGTACGACGCTTAGACGAAGAGGCATTGTGGTAGATCTCGGCTTAAAGGTCGCCGATACCGCAGGCATCATGAATGAAAAGCAATATGCGAGGGCAAGTACGGGGTCGGTCAAGGTGTCGGAACGCGCGAGATGGCCGCCCTTGACGCGGATGTTGATGTCGGGAGAGATGAGTGCCCAGAGATCCAGGGAGCTTAGCACACGGGAGAGATTCGACAGGTGGATGGTGAACGAGGGATACAGGCGATTGTGCGTCTCACCAAAGGATGGGTGTTGGAAGTGCCACGGCTAACGTGCGAATAGCTTCGTCTTTGTGTTCGCGGCTATCCATGCCATGGTCTTCGCTTTCGGTTTTATGAATTACCAGATCAAGGACAACCTGTCGATAGCCAGGCAGACATTTGGCTTGACATATCCGATAGCAAGAGCGGCCGCCTTGACTTTGCATTTCGATGTCGCCATGATTCTCTTTCCCGTCTGCAGGACGCTCATCTCTCTGGGACGGCAAACGCCCCTGAACGGCATTATACAGTTCGACAAGAACATCACTTTCCACATGACAACTGCCTGGTCTATCGTGTTCTTCTCCTGGCTACACGTCATTTCCCATTGGAACAACTTCGCTCAAATCTCGGCAAAGAACAATCTCGGGATTGGAGGATGGCTGCTCGCCAATTTTGTCACGGGGCCAGGTTGGACCGGATACATCATGTTGATTGCGTTGATGTCTATGGTTGCCACCTCGGTCGAGAAGATGCGTCGAGCCAACTTTGAGCGTTTCTGGTATACTCATCACATGTTCGTCGTGTTCTTCTTTTTCTGGTCGATCCACGGAGCCTACTGCATGATTCAGCCCGACTTTGCACCTTTCTGCGTGGGGCTCGGGTCTAGCGCCATTGGGGTCTTTTGGCAATACTGGATGTACGGAGGATACATCTACCTGATGGAGAGAATTGCCCGCGAGGTCCGAGGAAAGCACAAGACCTACATCTCAAAGGTCGTTCAGCATCCCAGTCTGGTTTGCGAAATTCAGATCAAGAAGGAGAATACCAAGACCAGAGCCGGGCAGTACATCTTCTTCTGCTGTCCCGCGGTTTCCGTCTGGCAATACCATCCTTTCACCCTGACCTCGGCACCTGAAGAGGACTACATTTCCATCCACATGAGGATGCAAGGAGACTTTACCAAAGCTGTCGGCCGCACCCTCGGCTGCGAACTCGACAAGCCGAGAGGCGACAAGAAAGACGCCTCTCAAGTAGTCAGCGTCAACAAGAACGGCCCGGGAGCGGAAGGGGTCGACCCGGCTATCCGCCGCATCCTTCCCCGAGTCTACATTGACGGGCCCTTCGGCTCCGCCTCTGAAGACGTCTTCAAGTACGAAGTCGCCATGCTCGTGGGAGCAGGTATCGGAGTTACCCCCTTCGCCTCCATTTTGAAGTCCATCTGGTACCGGATGAACTACCCGCAAAAGAAGACCCGCCTCGCCAAAGTCTACTTCTTCTGGATCTGTCGTGACTTCGGCTCCTTCGAGTGGTTCCGCTCTCTCCTTCTCGCCATCGAGGCCCAGGATATGGACAACCGTATTGAGATCCACACTTACCTGACTGCCAAGATCAAGGTTGACGACGCAACGAACATCATGATCAACGATGCGAACGCAGATCGCGACGCAATCACAGGTTTGAGGGCGCCGACGAACTTTGGCCGCCCGAACTGGGACATGATCTTTAAGAGTGTGCGCAAGATTCATAGTCCGTCTGAAGCGGGAGTGTTCTTCTGTGGACCGAAGGTGTTGGGGAGTGTGTTGCACATCAAGTGTAATATGTATACCGAGCCTGGTAAGTTTTTGTCTCCCTCCCTCCCTCCCACCCTCTCTTAGACGGAGCGTTCCGGACTAACGGGATGCAGGATTCGCGTTCCAATGGGGTAAGGAGAATTTCTAGAAGGGGGACAGGTTATCTTTCTTGCGAGCACGGTCTGGGTCAGGATTGAGACTTTCTTTTATTTTCTAGCATTGATTTTTTTGGTCGCGGGGATGGATGAGCTGCAATTAGGGATGGCTTGAGCTGAGTAGAGCTGAGTTGAGTTGGCGATTTTGTACTGCGGGGGATCGGGAAGAGGGGTAGTAATAGTTATATAGGGGGGTTTGCTCCTCCACCTCATGAACGAAACGAATCGTGTAATTTTTAAATTTCGGTTTTTTTTTTGTAGAAAATGAAAGGAAAAGTTTCGCGCAGCGCGCGTATTAGAATATCGTTCAATGACTAATCTCATGTTGTTTTCTTTTCTAATTTTTGTTATTCATTCCTTGTTCTTGCTCAGGCTCTTGCGCTCGCTCTTGTTCTTGCTCGGTAAGGGATCTTCTTTTCTAGCTAAGCTTAGCTAGGTAGGTAGACAGTTAGTTAGATAGTTACAACTATCCAGGTACCTAGAGAGGTAGCTCTGGAGATTCTGGCTCGGATATTGGAGGCTGAATGACAGAAGCAAAAGAAGGAATGATTGGATGAATGGTATCTGTGGATGTGGATCGTAATTTTTTTTTTTTTCCGCATCTCGTTAGCCTGCTAGTTTTCGAGATCCAGTCACGTCACGTCCGACGTCGCCGCAAGATGGAAGATTGAACTAAACTGTGTATTGAACTCCCAAGCCTCCAGGTCCAGGTTGTCGATCATGTCCACGGTTCGGAGGCGAAGCCAAAGTCTCTGCAAGCGAACGAACTTTTTACTACTCATGTGATTAAGCACCGGTAAGAGTCTTGGCGGGACAGCCTTGCATATCACCTGATTGGCATGGCTATAATGACTTGGGAGATGAGAGAGAATCAATGAATGGAACAACATACCAGGGTAAAGTGTGCTGCCATCAAAAGCCCTAATTTGGACTTGAAGGTTGAATGTCAACAAAGTCCGGCTTCCACGTGGACTCGCTAACCAAACCCCCGAGACGGGAAGCGAGCTTTCCTGCCCCTTCGATTCACCTGTGCGAAACAACTTTTGCCCGACACCAGCAAGGCTTCGAAACGTATCTGGAAAGCCTCGATACGGACCGAAGGTGTTTGCTCCGTCCTATCAATGGCAAGCTATAATCCTCATGGGTTCAGAATTCGAAAGTGAATGTAAACAAGGCATTCCTGAAAGAACCAAAGCCGGACACTTAGTCGAGATCCTACTCTGTGAGACACAAACTGGTAATTCAAATCTATGTCTGGCCATCTGATGGTCTGAATCGTTTATCTAGCCTCGAATTAACTCTCAGGATGTTGTTTTGGTGGACCAGATGTGATACCATGATCTATCCACCTCGATGGAAATCCCCTTCTGCAAACAATTCACTTGAATAGTGAGGGATTAGCTGCAAAGTCCCATCTCTCGATGATGTTGCTTGGAATCGGCAAGGAAGCCCTGACCAACGACACGCCCCGTCTATTTCTCTATTCTCAGATCAATAGCTAGAAAATTCGAATGCAATGCCAGGAACGCAACTCGGTAATTAAAAGCCTATTTTGCCTGTGGCTAAAGACTGAAAGTCGCTGGCTCTCTATCCTTATTTTCAGAGCTTCGATAGCAGCTGCAGCTCTTTCTGATACAACATGGAAGGGGCTCAGTTGATGTTACCTATACGGCATTCGCCACCAATTCTGTCTCTGGTCAGTCGCTCCTGCTTTTGAAAGAATCTGGAAATAGCGAAAAATTTCTGGTGTCGTCTCAACTTGACTCATGAATATTGTAAAATTCCATAGAATCACGCTCGCTACATCCGACATCACTGTTCGCTATCGATATTCCAAAGTCAGCAGCTCATCGGAGCACTTCCATAACCAACTACACACACTCGCTACTACTTTCATTAACCAGTATGGCTTTCCATAATAATGACTCCAATTCCGCAGTCCCCTCCAGATTGGTGCCAGAATATACAAGAGGCCGACTTCAACAAGCAAGGCCGCCCTCGTAATGTTGAATTCCTCTAAGCCCAGCGCTAATGGCTACTCCACAGTCAGACAATAGTACAGCTTCTACGAACCAGCCCCCACCCTCTGTTCTGTATACAGCTCCAGATCCAGGTGGGAATATATACAGTGCTTCATTTACCCACAACTACGGCCTCGGCAGCACAGCATTCACGATTCAATCACGTCCCTTCATCCAGTACACCACAGCCCCAAACCCATTCGGGCACCTCCACCCGGCTCCTTCAATGACCCCAATCATTTCACAATTCTATACATTGAATTTTCAGAGTAATGGAACAATGGCACTTCCGGATCAAGTAGAGTATCATGAAGCCCAGACGATGAGGCCATCGGATCATGGAACGCCACCAGTTGGCATTGGTGGACTTGCTCAGCAGCATCCAGCAGAATTTCGGAATGTTACCCCTCCGTCAATGACTGTCGGCTCGGCAATCCCAGAAGCACAAGGGGTATATGTCTCAACGCCGCCAAATCATCGGGCTATGATCAGGAATCCTATTTGCATACCACCAAATGAATTACCGCCTCAAGCGGGTGATAACGCCTATTTCAACATTCAGCTTATTGTTGCCTGCGATGACAATAGAAGCATAAGTCGCAGCACGATGCCATTGTTTGTTTTGAAGTTTCCTATCAAAATGCCCGTGCCGCTTGAGGAAAAGGGAGAACAACCGGTTGCCGCGTTACGAAGATTCATTAGTGATCGAGGTACCATTTCACGTTTGATCTCTGAGGTGCAAAGATTATTTGAACCACAGTCAGTATTTCCGGTTACACTTTCTCCTTGGAAATCGTGAGCACTAGAATATTGATATATTCGTGGCTAGTATCTTGCACGGATTGGCCAAGCTTATGGAACAAGGTGGCCCAAAAGCCAATCCACTAGCTCTCGGAGTGGACAACGCGCCGTCGTTGCTCAGTAGGTGGCTGGGCCATGAAATATGACATTTCTGATCTTCTTACTGGACCAGCCTCGACCAGACAATCGCTGACTCCCTCGTGCTCTTCCAGTGTGCGCCCAATGCAATGTGCGCCGGGCTAGAACCTTTGCTCATGAAGCAATATTTCAAATCGAGCCGACAGCTGTTGATGAGTTTTGTTCCGGGTTTTTCAATGACGAAATCCCGACGATTTGGAACCTGGTTGTTCCAGCTTGCTTCCCCAGCACTCGTTGCCCTCGCATTTCGCCTCAGAAAATGAACACTACCGCGGGTTCGTTGCGTGAAATTTGGAGTCGCATCTCACAAATCCCCTGCGATTGCGAGGCCGGTCATCCTAGAAGTGTTGTGAGCAACGATTTGGGGTATATCACGCCTCCTACGTACCATTATTTTGACTAACCACCCCATCAGCTCCTGCCAAGTTTGCTGGAAGAAGTTGTGGCAAGGTGTCTATAATTTCGAGCTGTGCGATTCCTTGGGGCTGTAGCCCGAAAAAGTCAACAGGTTCAACAGCTAGCTACAAGAAGCAGGGACATGGGCCTTCTAAGCAGAGACATGGGCCTTCTAAGCAGAGCCACGGGAATACATCATAGAGAAGCTGGGTATCGTACAGGTCGATGGCTACGAGGAACTCATCGTTTAGCGTTTCACTATGTAAGATCCTAGCTCTGGTCTCAGTCATGCCAGTATTTTCGGCAATGTCGGGCGACGTCTTGTGAGCAGCAAATCAACAGATACGACGCACCTTCTCTCCCCAGTTGAAGAAGATCAGTGATAAGGACACAAGCACAGTCATTTGTTTGTAAGACATCGCAACAGACTGTAAGCCGGTGAGCTCCAAGGCTGCCTTAGATTGGCATAAAAAACAGTGCCATAACTCCAGAGACCAGGTGGCGAGTGGATTTTCCCGTCGCGATTAGCGCCGAGCCAGCGTTACCAATATCTCGACACACGTATTCCCGCGCCCAGGAAAGGGAAGTCTGGCTGGCTGGCTATGTATACGGGCTTTACTACTACAAAGCGAGAAACGAGGTATATTTTATCGACGATACAGCATGAATCATTGCCGGAGCTCTTAGCGGCGGTTCTCCTCTGCGGCTATGCAATGCAGCCAGCCCCCCGACTACGAAGGATGTGCGTCCCCGGCAATTCCAGTTGTCAAGTGTCATAACAGGTTGTGTGGACTCTCGATGGGTAGTAATAGCTTCGTTCGGAGGGAAAAGCTCGAAGTGTTGACGTCGGGCACCTGATCGACTGGCCAATGAGAGAGCATCATGGCATTGGGCTCAGTCGCTCGCTTGTGAATAAGCGAGCGGCTAAAGGGGGGGAAAGGGGAGCGATGTTGTTGTCCGCCGCTCCTGTGCTGGGGGTTAGAGGATAGAGACTAGAGGTTAGAGGTTAGGCCGTGATGGTCGCGTGCCAGAAGAGCTCATTTGAAAACAGAATCATGCATTTGAATGTATCTCTAGAGTTGTACTGGCTGTTTTAAATAAGTTTATACAGAAAAGGTTGGCTCTCTTCGCGGATTTTTCTCTACATACATGGGTGGTGCGGATAAGAGGGAAAAGGCGCGTACCTTACGAGTCTAGTACCCTTTGTATTCCCGACAATCGACAGCAAGGCGACTGATAGCAGAGTAGTAGAAGGAAAGTATAATCAATTTTTATGATCTTTTTTTCTTTCTTTTAATATATATATATATTTTTTTAAAAAAAAAACAAAAAACAAAAAAAAACAAAAGGCGAGTGATTAAGTGCTTAGCCACGCTAAGGATGGATAAGCATACTCCGGACGGAAGCACGACATAATACTAGGTTAGTAAAACTTACTGTAGCACACAGAAAAAGCGGGACCAAAGCTGCTAAAAGTAACTCTAACACTTACAGTATCTGGCAAGAGGTTCTGACTTCTGAGTAAGCAAAGGTGCCTCCGCCTTGGCCTCATTTCTTCCTCATTCCCTTTGCTCGAAGCGGACGGACCGACTGACGGCTCCTCAGACGGATAGGCGCTTTTCTCGCAGGCTGATAGATAGTGCTCGTTTTGGCATGCCTCGACCGCCAGATTTGGAGTGCCGCTCTCGCTATCGTGACAACTTCGACTCGCGAATAGCTTTAGCTTGATTGATTGATTGATTGTCGCATCTTTGAAGGCGCGCATGAGAGTGTGGGATCGCTCCCCACAATCTTAATCGACTTAAAGGTGCAAAATAGGATCCGAATCGATTTTTAAGTTTAGGAAACTAAATCTGCAACCAGTAGTAGGCTCGCAGGTTATCAGTCAGCGCACTGACATCCGTCTTTCGATACCAGCATATCGTCGAGAGATTTGTTGGCGAGGAAAAAAAGTCCGCCATTGACGATTCAAATGGAGCTGGTGGTAGAGAGCCTAGGCTAGTGGGTGAAGATGTCGATGACTGCAGAGGTTGTGCGGGATACAATGGGGAGAAAAACAAGCGCAGCATGGAGCGGTACCCAATTGAAGCGGTTGAGGCATGGGAAAGACAGACTCCACTAATATTGAAGGATGGTAATGAAACTATCGGCCCTACTGGAAGTGCTCGTCACCTTTTCCATATCTTTCAGGCCTAGCTCTAACGTCACCTGGCGAGCCCGGCTGGCACTCATGGCTCACAGATGTAAGATATTCAACCCACAGCCGCTCCCTTCGAAGCATCTATTTTATATCATTGTCATTGCTCCTTCTGGACCAAACTCAACATGAATCAGCTCGAGACTGTTGAGCCAAAGAAGGCCAAAGACAACTCGGTGAAGTCGCCGCCGAGCGGTGACCCAACTCAGGATGCCGAGAAGCAGGCTGGTCAGTCACCTGGCGGCGAGGATGGGCTCAAGAGGAAGCTCAAGAGCAGACACTTACAGATGATTGCTATCGGTATGAAGCCTCGCATGAGTTCAACCGATTGATTCACTTGCTGAATTTGATGCAGGTGGCACTATTGGTACTGGACTCTTTATCGGATCGGGCGGTGCTATTGCCAAATCGGGGCCTGCAGGAGCCCTCATCGCCTACATCTTCGTAGGCACCCTCGTCTACAGCGTGATGACTTCGCTGGGTGAGATGGCAACCTACATGCCAATTTCTGGAGCCTTCACAGCCTATGCTGCACGGTTCATCGATCCGTCGCTGGGCTTCGCGATGGGATGGATCTACTGGTTCTCCTGGGCCATGACATATGCCTTGGAGTTGACCGCGACAGGTCTCATCATCAATTACTGGGCACCGAATCTGTCGATTGCCATCTTCATCAGCGTCTTCTGGGTCTTGATCACCATCATCAACATGCTGCCGGTCACTATCTACGGAGAGTTCGAGTTCGGCCTGTCGATGATCAAGGTGGTGACCGTCCTGGGTTTTATCATCTTTGCCATCTGTATTGCTGCTGGAGCTGGCCAACAGGGAGTGATCGGGTTCGACAACTGGAAGGATCCTGGCGCGTTCGCTCCCTATCTGGTCGGTGACGGTGCCCTGGCCAAGTTCATCGGCTTTTGGGCAGTGTTGATCCAAGCCGGATTCTCCTACCAGGGAACAGAACTGGTCGGTATCGCCGCTGGGGAGACCGAGAACCCGCGCAAGAACGTCCCTGCCGCCATCAAGAAGACCTTCTACCGAATCCTCTTCTTCTTCGTTGTCACGGTCTTCTGCATTGGTCTCCTGATCCCGTACACCAACAAGGATCTCCTAAACTCGAGCGGAGCCACATCTGCCGCCGCCTCGCCCTTTGTCATCGCCGCCAAGCTCGCCGGCGTCAAGGTGCTCCCAGGCCTCATCAACGGCGTCCTCCTCTTCGTCGTCATTTCCGCTGCGAACTCGAACGTCTACTCCGGCAGCCGGATCCTCCTCGGTCTCGCCATAGACGGTTCTGCCCCGGCCTGCCTCAAGCGCACCACTAAATCAGGCGTGCCCTGGATCGCGATTCTCGCCACCTCCGCCTTTGGGTTCTTCGCCTACCTCAACCTGTCCAACTCCGGCACCACGGTTTTCAACTGGTTCTTGAATATCACCGCCGTTGCTGGATTCATCAGCTGGGCTTGCATTAGCTGGTGCCACATCGCATTCATGCGCGCACTGGCCGCCCGCGGTACTGACCGCGACACTCTCCCCTACAAGGCCTTCTGGGAGCCCTACTTCGCGTGGTATGGGCTCTGTTTCAACGTGCTGATCGTCTGGACTCAAGGCTTCGAATCCTTCATCCCGTGGAACGCGTCGCAATTCTTTGCAGCGTATGTCAGTCTCATCCTCTTCTTGGTGTTGTTCGTCGGCCACAAGTTGATTATGAAGACGACGTACGTGAGGAGCGTGGATGTGGATCTCGATACGGATGCGGCCAAGGACGACGACGGCTCGTGGAGTGTTGAGGAGCCTACAACGTGGTGGGGGAGAATGTGGGCCTCTTTCTTGTGATGGTTGTGGTGGATGTGTTGGTGCGATTATCGGCGTTAGAGCGTGTTCTTTGTTGTAGCTCGATACCTTAATCGGGAAATATTCGTTACGCATCCCGCTCTGCTTATCGTCCTGGTCTGAATTTTTTGATGTGATACCTTTAGTATCCCTCCTCCCTTTCACTCCTAGGTCGTACGGACGGTCGGGTTTTTTTTTTTTTTTTCGCCTTCAACACTTCATCGTCGTATAACAACCAGCTTCGTAATCTAGCCAATTAAAGCGGAACATGAAATTAGCCATCGGAATAATCCGCTAAGAGTCTCGACAGGGACGGAAAATAAATTAAGTTTCTTGGTTGTGGTATCCAAGGACTTTCAACGATCGAGAGTTAGCCGAAAACCCCGAAACGTAGCTTGGGGATTTTTGTTGTTGTTGTTGTATTTATTAACGTCGGGCGGGTATCCAAAACGCAATGCTTGGACCCTGGGGACCTCCCATGGGGTACGGCGACGTGCTAAGTAGAGGAATTATATACAAAGTACTATCTAATCGAGAGTAAAAACCACGTTGGGGAAAACCTTTCGTCAAATAGCTAGACACTTGTAAACCCCCTAAAAGCAATTCATAGTGATGTGCGTCGAGTTTTCTCTCGACAACTGTCGAATACGTGTGGCCCTACGGGCGGCCTCGATCCGTATAGTACAAACATCGTTCTCTTTCGTCGTAAAGCTAAGAAGGCTCGCGTTCGTAGCCCTTAAATAAAGCCGGTGTGTTTGTAGAACGCTCTTTCGAAGGCGCAGTACCGTGTTTTCGATCAATCGAACTAAGCCTTTCCCATCCCATCTCTTATACACGTTCCCCCTCTATCGCAAATCCTCCTGGTCTTTTCAGTCGGTATGCCCGTCATGTATAGATCGTAGTCGGCGTGGTATTCGAGAAGAAGGAGGAGGGAGGTTCGGAATCGCCGGTAAAGGAGAATTCTTCGAGGAGACGTCGCATGTCGATGATTCAATTTCGGCTCTCCAGACTCTTTATCTCTCTTTCTACCGCAGGAGAAAGAAAGAAAAAGAGCTGAAGGTTCGTAGGGGGCACCTCGTACAGGTAAAGAATCGTAGCCCCCCCGTAGCTTGGGGACGAGGGTTGGATCTGGCTCGGACATCTGCTCGTAAACAGAGAAGTTCTATACTTACTTGTAATAAGCAAGCTTGTTGATGTTGACCGTCCACCACTCTGGATCACTACCCGCTTCTCAATAATTCGCAGTCACGCCTAGGAAACCACGCAAATCGAGCTCGGTTAGACGTTGAGAGTCAAATAAGGAGAGAAAGTGAGACAGGTTACGATAATTATTAACTGTGTATATATCAGAATTGCTGTGTAAATAATAAAATAGGCAGAGAACGCGGAAACCAGGCTTCCATCAAAACCCATCGCAAATACCTATTCTAAGCTACCAACCTTCAGTCAGTAATTGTTTCCTCTACTAGTATAATGAATTCGATTACCTCCTGTCGATCTCTATGTAGTTTTCCTTATTTTAATTAGAGTTAAGGTTAATAAGATAATTGATTTTTGTTGTTGTTGTTGTTGTTGTATTTATTAACGTCGGGCGGGTGGCAAGCTTTGCATGCCGCCTTAGGACATGCCGCCTTAGGACCTCTCATAAGGTACGGCGACGTGCCAAGTAGAGGAATTATAGACAAAGTACTGTTTTTCTTCAAACTCGATTGCTTGGAAGGAAGAAGGTGAAGCTTGTGAGTTTTGGCTGACAGGCGCCCTTGAGCTTTGATTGGTGTGATGGCAGCTAGCTAGTAAGCTTCTGAAGTAGCTGAGAGTAGCTTGCTAAAGAAGCCAGCTATCAAGCAGATAAGCTAAGCTCAAAGAAGCCTAACGCTCCTAATTAGGGCCATTCTGAATACATGAAGTGTGGCCAGGGATGGCGGGTGGGAAAAATGACTTCCAAGCAATCGATCGCTGCTGAGGACTTCTGACTCTGGGAATGTACCATTGTAATATAGTCCAATCTGACCAAAGGCCTTTATCCTGTATCTTACCGACAGCCTTTCAAGGCATTGAAGGTTGTAGCCCGCATCCTCCTTTGAGAGTATAAACACAAACATTTTGACCGATAATGAAAACTACGTTAAAGAAAGCTTTCTTTTAAATAGCCTCGTGTCATTGATCCCGAGGTATCGCATAATTCCAATAAGCCTTTCAAAAGCGTTTCAAGTGTTGATATAGCGCAGCTGCTATCGATTGTGCTTTTTTCTGTTCATGAATAAAATAGATCGAAAAAAAAAACCGTAGACTCTTATACCGAGAGAAAAATCGTTAAAGCAAGTTATAACGTAGGTAAGGTATATCAATATGGATTGCCGAGATAATTTGGAGGTTTAACCGGGAGTTTAGCTAAGTGGCCTTTTCGAAAACGCAATATCGTAAAGCGTCTCCAACAACTTTTTTATCTCTTTCATCTTATCCCCTTTCTATTGCAAATCCTCTTGGTCTTTTTAATCGGTATGCTCGTCAGATGTAAATGCTCGTCAGATATAAATCGTAATCGGCGTGATGATCGAGGTAAGAAGAAGCTCGTTCGGAACCGATCGCTAATAGAGGAAAATCTCTTCGAAAAGGCTACCTTGATTTAATTTCGGCTCTCCAGGTTCACTTTGCCGAAAAAAAAAAAGAGCTGAAGGTTCGTAGGAGGCACCTCGTACAAGTAAAGAGTCGTAGCCCCCCTGAAAATATTTAAAGCGAGCAAGTGAAATTGAAATATTCACGACAGTTTTAGCTATATTTTCCCTACATTTTAATTGTTTGACTTGCAACAAATAGACGCATCTTGTTTGCTTAACAATGTTTTCTGAGTATGTAGATCTTTTTTTTTTTCTTTTCTTTTCTTTTGTTTATATAACTGGTTGTAATTTGATAAATGTTTTGATGTAAATGCCCCGGATCGCTGGTGGCGATGTACGCAGCCATGTGGGGGATTTTTATACATTAATTTTCAGGGCAATCGACGATTGATTCGTACAACGCTCCCTTATTATACAATACTCCGCCCCCAATCATATCAAATATTAACACTTGGTTCAGCCAAGCCACGCGAAAGATATCCAGCCCAAAGTTGACGAGCCACTCCCTTCTGATTGTGCTAATAAGGAATTCATCCCCTCGTCAATCCAATATTTCCCTTAATATCCCATTTGCTTTTATCATCCCAATCAATAGTACCTGATTCATGTTCATCTAACATATCACTGACTGAATTAAAGCATTCGGCCCATAAACCCAACTGACCACGCTGTACCACTGTCGATGGAATAAGCATTTGCTTACCATAGCCATTATTTTGTTGGACCCATGAGAAGCGCAGCGCTGTAAAATAGTCTAACACAACGCCCATCGACCTGACGTAGTTTATGATGGTATTCTCGTTTGAGAACCATAAATTTTTTAGCCGACTCGAAGGTGTGTCTTGATACTGTCTCGGGATATAGACTTTGGCGATCCTTTCCACCCTACTGGTTCTCGCTTTCACAACGCAGTGCCAAGTCCCTCCTGGAACAGTGAAGCCGCCAGGTTCGTTTACTATTTAAATCATTAGTTTCGCGTAACAGATCACGATTTATAGAGTAGTTATTCAACTCACTTAGATAAAAGCCCTCTCCTATTTGGCCGCCCATAAACTGTATATCAGCATCGGTTATCTTATGGTTTCTATTGATTCGCTCAGCCTGCTCCTATAATTCGCGTAATTAGTATAGGCTTATATCATATAACTTAAGATAAAACTTACTGGTTTAGCTGTTGCATAGCCGATGATTTTCATTCGATGGATTCCGAAAAATGCTTGAGCTCTACCAAAGAGTAAGCTCAAGGCTAGCGAGATCGCGAAAATAAACTTCGATCGTAGCATCGTGTTGGTATTAAATCTTTTAATAATGCGAGCTGACAGAAGGGAAGTAAGCTCGCAATAGAAGATGATGATATGGAATGGAAGAAGAGAATGATGGATCGAATCTAGAGCAGGTGCAAGAACAAATACTTATGGCTTTCTCGAGCCGTGTCCTAAATTTCAACGTCGGCTATAAATAATCGTGTGGCTAATAATAGTCCTCGCACTGATTATTACGGATATTTATCTTTTCGTTTTTGAAAGTATATCGAGGATCATCTCTAAATGCCAATCCAAATTACCGCTGAGCTCACTATTCATAGTATTGCAATTTCTCCTTTCAATTTAAACAGATCAATGTAACTACGTGAACACGAGGTCATTTCCGCGGCGGCCCTCCGCAAGCTCCGGGACCAGGGAACCTCGCTTCGCAACGGTCGCGAGTACCTATCTTAAGGGAAATGCTGGAGCTTTGGGACAGTCTGCTAATCATTCGAGGACGATCTTTTTTTAAAGACGGTCCTAAGAGTTTGACATGGCTGGTGGATCACCTTAGGTCTATGTCATTCATAGAATTCGGTCGTTTTGCGAAAAGACCATCTTAGGACCGTCTTAGGGCCGTCTCCGAATTGAGATTCGTCCCGGAGAAGTTATTTTAGTAAGCAAATAATTTTTAGTAAGCGAACAATTTGAACGATCAATGGTTCGTTTTGAAATCTTAGAACTTGCCCTTTAGTAAGCCCGTTCTAAAGAATTAGACGGGGACGGCTGTAGGACGGCCAAGGGACGTTCTGTTTCAATGGGACGGTCTATTAGCTAAGCTGTTCCCCAAGATCATGTGATGATTTATTTTTTCACCAATTTAGAGCCAAGGCGCTAATCGCTCCGCTCGGACCACATCTAGGATCCTACGAACTTCAATCGAACTCGAATTGAAAATCAACAAAAAAGAACTTCGGCCACAATCCGCAGACCGATCTTCCATCAGCGCGGCACCACACCGCAACTATGGCACTCCTACCCGCACGCAACGTGGTCATGTTGCGCCTCAGCCCTGCATCTTCGACCAAGATCAACGCTCTACGGAACCGGCACAAGGCCGGCTTGGATCACTGCAACTTCCAATTCTTCCGATACATCGCCGCAGACGATCAGAACCGGTCTCTAGTAAGAGAGAAGCTCGCCGAGATAGCCGCCGCGCAGTCGCCAATCTCCTTCTGCCTGAGCAACGCGCATCGATCTTCCAACGCGAGGTCAGGGATCCAGAAAGTGGTGCTCAGGGGCGAACGCAGCGAGGACACGTTCAAATCCCTTGCGCGGACAATGTGGGAGGCCATGGCCGACGTGCGGATCCTCAAAGCCGGGTTTGACGGGAAAGAAGCTGTGAGTTTCCTGGTGAAGGATCACACCTTCCGGTACCACGGGAAGAAAACCGGGATCTTCTGCCGCGCACCGTCCATTGCGGTCAAGACTTTCACCAAGGGCGACCAGGAATCGAGTCGTTTGCTGGATTGGCTGTCTCGAGAATACCCGAACGGATTTGGGGACGTTGAGGTGGATGGGTTTTGCTTGGGCAACATGAAAGACTCCCGCTCACAAGAGCCTACGGAACCTCTGCCCCTGGAGGAATTCCCGTTTCTCGGACAGAGCCAGGTCTCTTCTCCTACTGAAGCTTAGCTGGAGCTTAGGTGGGGTCTGGGCGCCTTGCTCTGGTCTTTGGCATCGGAACTACTGGACACCTAATTTTTACAAATACAGGCCGCCATTGCTCTCGGTCGAATGCTCCGCCGGCGGGACCTATTTTTTCATACGCCTCTCACTTCTCCTCTCAGATCTCGCTCAAGTGTCGAAAGAAATCTCTGGCACCCTTCCGAAATTCTCACACTTACCTTTTCGCGAGATCAGCCTCACCTAGACGCCTACCGATCTCATTATAATCACACCCGATAAATATTCTCGCATGCAGAGGGGGACAAAGCTCTCGATCCTGCGTTTTGTCCCCGGGATCGGAACCTTTGGAAGGGAACTCGGAGATATCGTTACTTGAGCGGCATGAAGGGATATGTGCAATTGGTAGATGGGAAAGGACTGGGAAAGTTTTGCTGAAACGGGGATTGACTGGCGTGGCCCAGGGAAACAGCACAACGGAACACACCGAGGCCGGGCTAGAGCAAGCAAAACACGATGAGCCAGGAGTTGAAAGGGAAAAACCAAAGTGTACGATTATGTAGAATAGTCGGCGTCGGGATAGTTCCCTGTAGTAAAGAAAAGTTTGCACGGGACCTTGAATTGGATATATATGAAGCTGTGTAGTATCGGAGCTTGATACAAAAAGGTCCGATCCAAGCTTCCATCAGATTTTCCACAGCTACCGACGTCTGATTCGAGAAGCTCCAACGTCAGCCAATTGTCGAGATCCTAAATCGAAAAAAAAAAAAAAAAAAAAAAAAAAAAAAAAAAAAAAAAAGTAACGAAAAAAAAAACCACATATGTATTCTGCTCGGCTTTTCTTTCTTTCGTGGCCATCCACATCTTCCGTTTAGGGGTTCGAAGGCCCGACTCGAGAAGTCCCTGTTCCTTGGTCGTCGTGCGATGGTTGACTTTCTAAATTGACAACCTGCTGGGCTGCGCGTTGGCGGCCAACGCTCAAGTTCTCGAGCATAGCCCGCAGCACCCCCTCCATCCAGTCATCCAGCCTCTCCCCGGCCGTCTTGGTGAATGTCTGTCTTCGGGAAAATGTCGCCCTTTCCAACAGGCTCAACTCAACCGAGACGACTTCATCCGTTCCAGCCGAGCCGAGCCGAGTCCAGCAGAAGACAGGCCTTCAGCGCGATCAGCACATCACTTCCATGTTACTGGGCTTCCTCCTCAGCTTCTTCCATGATAAATACTGCCTCCCCCTCCCCCACCCCCTTGGACTCTGCACGTCTTCAGAGATAAATTTCTTCTCCATGTTAAAATTGGTTTGATCTCGTGCCGGCATCTTCGTTGCAAGGAAATAATAAAGATCCAGTTGATGTGTGATTTTCAAGACTGAGAAACTCGAATGACGCAGGATAGAACTGATCAGAGAGAATTTCCAGAGCGAAATAAGCAGTACCCGCTCCTAAGCCCGATCCTTTTGCTAAGATGGGTATCGCAAAGGAGGTATACGAAGTAAGAGCACCCGTTACATGAACGCTCGCACGACACCTGTCCGATGGTATCTCATCCGGAAGCACCCACACCAGGCAGCTCGGCACCCTGCAGTAAACCCAAAACGTCCGCATCAAACCCCCAATCACCAACCCACTCATTCATCACCGCCCCATCCTTAAAATGGCCTGCCAGATGTTCAACCCGCGCCTCCCAAGTACCAAGCCACTCGTCGCAGAAACCACACCTGCTCTTCAAGTCACCCCACTCCACCTTCCAAAGCGCAAAAACACTCGGGGATGGTTTGGATAGCCCGTGGAACTTGATAAGGTGTTGACGCAAGTGGTCTTTGCGCTTGAAAGTTCGTTCCGCCACGGGACGGTCGGAGCAGGTATTGAATTCGTGGCTGATGAGGTGGCCTTCGGTCGGGTCAGAGGCGCTGCAGAAGATGCATTGTTTGGCCGTGGTGTGGGGGATGGGGATGGTGCCGTCACCGGAACAGCAGATCCAGTGTTCCAGGGAGAGATGGATTGATTTCTCGTGGCGTTGCCAGTCATGCCTTTTCTTGAAGGAAACAGGACAGAAGGTGCAGTGGAAGGTTAACGAGAATTTATTTTCTGCTTTCTCTAGCATGTTTTGCTTCTGTTGACGGCGACGCTTGGGGCGGCTCGGTGACGTGAAGGACCGGTGAGATGCCCAGGAGCTGTGAGACCATGCCGAGTTCGACGAGTCTGAGGCGGACAAACTTGTTTCGCGACTCGAGCGGTTATCAAAGGACCTGTGCTGCGGGTAGGCTACAGTGCCGTCGGTCGGTGATATACCAGCCCACGCACTTGACCCGTTCTTGGAAGCAGCAATCGCCTTGGCCAGAGCCGCAGGATCGACGGGATTGTCTTCAGGCGGCGAATTCTTCCATCTCGATATGGGGCTGAAATCTGACTGGTCCTCTCGAATCCCGCTATTCAATTTACCACGCCCAGGTGGTATGGGAACACTCTGTATCTGGCGTTGCCGTCTCCTGGCATTAGCGAACCAGTTTGATATCTGCAATATCGTGAGTCCAGTAGTCGCTCTCAACTCCAGCTTCTCATCCTCGGAAGGGTACGGCGAGTGCCGGTGCTCAGACAACCAAGCCTTGAGAACTCGAATGTCCTGTTTTGAAATCGACCTCTTGCTCTTGACCGCCGTGACCTTCACAACAGGCTCTCCCTCTTTCTTCTCGCCCTGAACAAAAGAGCTCTCAGCACCCGCACCAGCACCCGCACCCGCACCGGCTTCGGCCTGCCAGTCTGGATAACTCAATAGCTCAAGCCCATCCTGGCACTCCTCATTGACACCGTGCAAGTGTCCGATGATAGGCTGATTAGTCTCAAACTCCGAAGCTTTCCTCTTCTCCCCAATCGCCAAGCTGCACTCCCTGAAGAGCGCAACACAGCTCGAGCACGCAGTCACTGGATTAGGATTCACCTGCGTGGTACGAATGATGAGACATTGTAAGCGGTGGTAGCGGCAATAGGAACAAGGCGCCGGCGGGCGATAAGCCCCATCGACCCACTGGAGAAAATCCTGGTCCAAGTAGAACGACGTCGAAGGCTCGGCGTTCCAGTCTGGCGAAATAGCCGTCTGTAACTGTGTAGGCTGCGGCGCGGCAGTGTGATGACTATCAGCTGCATACAGAGTCTCCACAGGCTCAGACTCAGCCAAAGGGAGTAGTCCGTCTAGTGCTTCCGGAACAGCATTCCAGTTGAAGGTCGAAGCCTGATTATCAAGCTGTTCCAAGTCTATGAAGACTTCCCATGATTCTAAGTGTTGCCCGCTAGCTTCAAAGCTGTCGAGTAAGGAAGTGTCGAGCTGGTCGACGGTGAGTGGTCCTTGGTCCGCAAAGGCCTCGAATGAGTTCGTGAAAATGGGCGCATGAGTATCTGGGCGAGGACTGCAGGATCTTCTCTCATCCATCTTTTCTCATCGTAATCCAGACATATGAAAGGAAGCTGGAAACAAGAGGATGGTACTGGGTCGAGATTCGAGATGGCAGAGATGGCAAAGATGGCAGAGATGGCAGAGACGGCAGAGGTGCCAGAGATGGCCCAGAAATCTCGTGATATCCCGACCACGTGAGTCGATGATGACCTCTGAGCCCGCTAGGCAGGATCGAAGGAATATGAGAAAACACTACCAACCGACCCCTCACTCACCGTAATTTGCACCCATATTGCAACTTCGTAAAAGCGTGAATTTTTTCTCTTCATTATGCGCTCTTTTCACACTCGAGATAGGAAGCTGAAAAATGTCGAGAATGCAGAATCATCGATTTCCAGACATGGAGGAAATCTCGCTAAAGCAAAAATGGGAGGAGCGAGGCGAGGAATGGTTAACAACGATTGTCATCATGACCTGTACACTAGACTCGCATCATTAGGATAGGTATTCCAGCTATGGATTTTTGCTCAATTCCAGGAAGCATTTACTGGCCTTTGCCTGTAAGAGTGAATTCTTTTGATTGTATACTCTTAGAGACCTGAGAATGGACAGGGATTTAGTCGGTGAGAGATCCTTAAATCGCTATCTCGCGTGAACGAAAATCCTTGAAGACTTGAGAGCGGACAAGGATGTAATAGATAAGATATTCTTAAATCGCTATCGCAGGTGATAACGAGTCTCCAAAGAAAATACCCTAACTTACGGTATTTGATATTAGCTTCATAATAGGTTTGCTACTACAGTAGTAATTCCAACCATAACTTAGATTACAAAGGCCGAAGGTGGCCAGCATTTGGACCGTCAGCTCACCACCATCCGAGAAAGATCTCTTCTAAAACCATCAATAACACCTTGATTCGTAAACAGACATATCGCTTATTCTTCACCATTAGCCACATTCCTTTCCTTCACTTACACGAGCGCAGAGTCACGTATGTAGCACGTAGCCAGGTGGCCAAGAGTTTCTCTTGCAGGCTCGGTAGAGCCTCTTCTTCTCCTTCGAGAATCAGAACCCATTCTATCGTGCCTTTTTCCTTGCTCTATCAGTGGCCCCTTTGCACTAATCGCATGTAGCAAAATCTCTGCCAAGTATTTCTTTTCCTTTTTTTGAACTGGGGAATAATTCTCATCAGGATTCTGGGACAATCAGCGCTCAATATCCCCCTGACTTCTAAAGCTTCCCAGAAAGCCTGGAACTACGAATTCGACTTACAGCAGAAGTTCAAAAGCCGCGTTGTATTCATCCATTCGTATTCTAGCTATCGCCATGATATGCACGCCGCATGATGAGATCCTAGATAGCTCGTGTGTCCAGTTTCATCCCTGTCATCTGGAAGAAAAGCAAGTGCTAGTAAAAGCATTCCACGCTCAATAACATGACATTTCCTATCCATCAGCAAAAAATGGAAAATCCCTCAAGCAAGTCTTTGCGTGGTAGTGACCGTTCTACTCCAAGTGATGCCGGCCCAAAATCAGATCCCCATCTATCTCTCAACGTCCTGAGAATTTCGCCGCCCCTGAACTCCATAGCCCTTTCGTTGTCTCGGCGATTTTTCTCGTCTGGGCCTCGATCTGGGCTCGAGTCTGTCCCTGTCCGGACGCCCTCTCTACGCCACGCATGATCGTATCTGCGAACCCGCCGCTCTGTGGTGGTGTATAAAGTGGTCCTCCGGTTCCGGTTCCGGTTTTGTAAGCTGAGTCCTCGGTCCCTTCCATCTCATCGCCTGGGCCCATACCGACCCCGGAGTCGTTCCCTCCACGCTTCAGGGGCTGAGCTCCACGCTCTGGATCGGTCGATACAATACCGTCCATCATTCCAGCTTGGCCCTCTCTGAGCTTGTTGATGGCTCGAACGGTATCTATGGCTGCATGGAGCGTCCGGCGAGCGTTAAAGTTCTTCTTCACAACAGGCAGCAAGTCGCTGCCCTTTCCTGTCTTGCCACCCTGTGCGCTTGGCATGCCTGAGACGAATGGGTGGGAGAGAGCTTCGTGGGAGGTCATTCTTTTTGTAGGGTCGATTGTCAGACATCGCTTAATAAATTCTCGAGCTTCTAGGCTGACACCTCTCCAGTATTCGATTGGTGTGAAACTGTAATCTGCGATAAGGATCGCCTGCATCTCCTCCAGGTTGGAATCCCGGTCAAATGGTGTATAACCGCATAGCAGGAAGTAGGTGATCACACCAATAGCCCAGATATCCACTGGCTTTCCATGACCGGTCTTTTTGAAGATCTCGGGTGCCATGTAGCCTGGGGTTCCGCACGTTGTGGTAAGCACATGGAATTGCTCCTCGTCCATTATTCTGCTCAACCCGAAATCTGCGATCAGTAAATCGGCGTTATCTTCAGGGGTTCGAAAAAGCAAGTTCTCGGGCTTCAAGTCGCGATGTACGATTCCATGGTCATGCAGGTAGGCGACGGCGGAAAGGGTCGCTCGAATAAGGTCTGCTGCGTCGGACTCGTAGTAGGAGCCTTTCCGACAAATCCGATCGAACAGTTCTCCACCGAGGGCGAGGTCGGTGACGAGATATAGGTTGTTCAGGGTTTCAAAGTAGTCGACCAGAGTGAGGATGTTTTGATGGCCCATGGATACCCTTTTTAGCACAGCGATTTCGTTTCGCACCTATACTGGGTCAACACAATGGTCTTTCAAGGCGCCGAGAGGACTCTCACCATGTGCTCTCGCCCAGCCATCAATCTCTTGTTGATGACTTTCGCCGCATAATACCTTCCCGTATCAATATGCACGCACTCCTTGACCACGGAATACGAACCCGCGCCGAGCGTCTTTCCCGTCTTGTAACGACATGGCTGGACCACAGGCTTAGCCTGCTGGTTGTCCTGGGGATTGGAATAACTCATATTGCCCATGCGAAGTATGATTGGACTGCGCGCAGGTGGGAGGTTGGCGACGTCGGTGGATGAGGGCGGTCGGCGGCTGCGATGAGCTAATACTCGAAGCTTGAGGGGGGTGCAAGTACAACTGGCCGAGACGAGGGGAGCATGAGGGGGGCTGTAGCACAAGCTGGTAGAGGTGAGATTGTGACGGCGCCCTCTTCGCTGCGGTTTGTTGTTGTCGTCGCCGTTGTTAGCAGACGCCGATCAGACCAGATCAAGGTCAAACCAGGGCCGGGCCAGGCCAGGCCAGCCCTCCTTTGGCGCTAGTCCCCATTAGCCGATCCAACTCAACCGAAAACTTACAACCACCTTCAACTACGGAGCTTCAATCTTTAATATCTATTCTCCCCTCAGCTCCACTTTCCACTTATTCCTTCCACCCTTATGACGTTTCGAATCTCGGATGGAGTGCTCGTATAGCATCTCCGAATTCTTTTCCAAGCCGACGACGGTGACACAGATAGCTCTTCTTTTTTGGCTCTCCAAGAGGCACACGGACGGTATCTCCGGGTAAGGACCTACCTACCACTCTCGCCACAGTATCGTGTTCATGATAAATTTATCAATCATCATTCGCTGTTCAGCTCACGTGCCGGCCCTACGTCCCTATCCAGGCCGCAAGTATCTCTATCCGAGCCTTGTCAAGGTATCCCGCCTGGGCCATCGTTGCGACATACCCTACCTACCATCTACCGAGCGAGGAACGGTCTTCCATTTGTCTTCTATTCGTCTTCCATTCGGAGAGCCCGAGGTCTCTATGCGGCGGCAGGACTGCCATGAGGCCCGTCTCCTCCACAAAAGCTTGGTTTGAACAGCATTTGCATCACAACTCACCCATGACCCCGTGTTAGAAGTAAATATATCCGCCCCCCCGGCCTCTTTTTCCTTTTTTTCCTTTGACAGTTTGATCCCCCGAACTCTAATGCAAACGTCCGAACAGTTCATTGGGCCCTCGTGGCTTGGTCGCTCATCAACCCGGAACGGCAAGGCTGGCCCGTTTTATTCGCTTCTTGAGTCGTGCACTTGTTCTGTTATCATTCTCCGGTCGGCACCATTTACAATTTCTAGTTTGCATCATCCAGCTCGTTTATTACTGTCTCGGTATTTCATGTTCCTCGTGCGAGAGTGTCTCGTTTTCTTTTCTACTCGCGCAAGGGATTGTTCGTTTCCAACATGAGTGCTGCCGTTCCAGGAAATCCGGACACTGGACGAAATCAAGAAATTACATCCTTACCCGCCGTTATTTCTGCACCGACGACAGCTTCTTCCTTTCCAGCTACGTCCAGCTCAGCTGTCGCGACCTCGAAATCGGCATTATTGAAGATGGGAGACACGCATGCATTAATCATTGGCACAGTTACTGGTGGCGTGGGGGCATTAATATTGATTTGCGTGGTGACACTGTGTTTTGTAAACCGGAGAAAGAAGCAACGGAAGGAGAAGAAAGCTGGAGCAGAGCCCGTCTCGTACATTGGAGTCAACCAGGCCTTTGCCGGAGTTCCTTTTAGACAATCGCAGCTGAGCAGCCAGCTCTCCCCGAGACCGTTACTCCAGGCCTACCCGAACAGTGCTTTGAGTCCGGGGCTGCGGAGCGACAAACAATGGCCTTCATTCCGGGACAACGAGCGCGACGACATAGCCGACCAGTATTTTGCATCACCACTTCCCTCACCAGCACACCCCCCAGACAGCTCACGCGACCACGCCTCAGTACAAGCACGTTCACACTTTGAAAAGCCCACAAACATAGGCCGGCACTCCCGCTCGAATAGCACAGGCTCTCAACTCACGCTCCACGATCTCAGCGAGGCACATGTCCTATCTGTACACGGCCCTCTTTCCCCCGGATTCCAACTTCCAGACTTTGAGTTTCAAAGCCAACGAGACACCATGGGAACCCAACGAGACACCATGGGTTTTCCCATTGACGCCCCCCAGCCAATTGTTCCCAACCCAGGACAAACCCAACTTAACTCCATGACGCCTGTACTCCTCGCCCCTAAACCACTGCATCCGCCCACTTCTCAAGACCCCCTAGAACGAGTTGTCCGGGACCGTACGCTCACATCAAGTCCTGCGCCGAGCATATCTGCATCAGACCGTGTGCGAGTTCTAAGCACAGAATTTCGCCAAGATAGCCCGATATTGGGCATGCAAGGCTCGCAGGTCGTTATACGAGAGTCAGCGGCACCAAGAGTGCCTTCCGGGCTAGGCTTTGGGCTGGGTGCCGACGATACTCGGACGACTGTGTCTTACATAAGCACTATGAGCCCCGTAGTCCGCGACGGAGAACTGGAGAGTCCACGGATGGGCGCAAGACCGCAGCCGTTGCAAATCAAACCGTACCAAGATGCAATCTAAGGGAATTCGGTCGAGGTGAAGGGCAATGGCGCAGGCGTTGGGGTTGGTAATCTGCGATTTTGGCGGGCGTTTGGGATCTACTGACTGGCATACAAATACCCTTTCCTTCGTTATGTACACACAGCGTTTTGAAAGAAGGGCATTACGGCCCGGAGTAACACTAGAATCGGTGATGCAGTAATGTCAAGAATTAAATTATTGAATATTGATTGACTACAGATTTGCTGCTGTGCGTTTTCAGTGTACGCTTTCCATTTCCCTCTTCTGCTTGTGACGCGAACCTGCATCTTCGAAGTCAGTTTCTTCATACCGATACTGTGGTCTGTTCTTCTCTTCCCTTTCGTTTGCCTGTGATGTCAGTTCATCTATTCATAGATACTCCGTCGTATATACAACCAGCCCGTCATCTCTTTCCTCCCGGCATCATTTCCACGAAACGTGAACAAGAGTTTCCACCGGATCTCTCGGGCTCTGGCCCAAGCCGGGTATTTTCTTTGTAGTGCTTACTCGTACGTTTTACGGAGTACCAAGTATCTCCCCCTTACCTTTCCACCCAAAATAAATGTCCTGGTGGCCACGGTGCCACGCGATGAAACAAAATTACATCCATGCCATCTTTAGGACTTACCCCGGGCCGGCACGTTTACGGCTAGTAGTACGTACAGTAGTAGGTACTACGTAGTATGTTCGCCCAATCAAGGAGTGCATGCATGGACCGGCCCGCCGGCGCTTCAAATATCATTTTACTTTTGACTTTTGCAACACCTTCTAGAAGGCTTGCTACTCGGTATTTCTCCAGTTGCAAGTACAGTACAGTACAGTACAGTACAGTAGGTAGTTATGTACGTACTAATCAGCCTTGAAACTTCTCCGGGTCCATACGAGCAGGCTACGGATAACTGTAGTCTAATTATACATCTCCCCCGTACAACTACTATTACCACGGAAATGGCAACGGCACCGGTGAAACAGAGGAAAGTTTATGATGGTCTCCTTCGGCTCGTGGGAAAGTAGGTAGTATTTCTACCTCATCATCGTCCGCTTCTGAGGTTTATTTACGATCTTATTTTTACGCACACACCTTCCAGCAAGCATCCAGTCTCTTTCTTCATCCACTTCCATCTACCTTCCTAGAGAAGTTATCTGAACCTTTGTCCACTCTTCCGCCAACATGAAGTTCATCAACGCCATCGTCGCCGCAGCCGTTCTGGCAGCGTCTGCAGTGACAGCAAAAGAAACCATCGAAATTTGCCGCAACAACTTGCTCGTCTTCTGCGAGATCAATGCCCCAGCCTGGAATCGCGATTGCGGTAAGATAGTCATTCGCTTGCTTCTCTCTCTCTCTCTCTCTCTGTCACATTTCCCCTCTCAACCATTTCTGTGTAATTCCTCATCGGACGAGAAAGAAAGAAAGAAAGAAAGAAAGCTGACCAGGAGATTTTTCCCCCTCAAAATAGTCGAACTCGGTGTTGAGTATGACAATCTCGTCAGCTCGTTCGATACACGCGGTCTGACCTGCGAGTTCTACGAGTAAGCCCCCCATTCTTTACTTTTGATACTCCTCAAGAGGGAGATGAATATTTTCTTTTTTTTTTTTCTCTCTTTGGTTGGAGAAAGATTGAGATCCTGGATGGCTAGCTGATCTGGACCAGTGAACCCGGGTGCTCCAAGGATACCGCATGGTTTGAACACACCGGTAAAATGCCTGCCCTCAATGCCGCCCCTGCTGGAAAGGAGGGTTGGGATGACAGGATCTCCTCATACAAATGCATACCTCCGCAGGAGGAGCGTTAAAGCCCGGTATGTCAAGGCGCAGTGCTTGCAAGTAGAGGGCTGGTTTTCGGCAGCGGCAGCGGCAGCGGCTGCGGCTGGCTTTGGCTGGCTGGCAAGATTGGGTTGTCAGGGGTTGGAGGAGAGTTATTCGGTTGGGGTACCTACTATTCTGCACTGCACTAGACGGTGGTGGACTGTATTACATAAAGAGATATCTGTGATGTCGTCAATCTATACCCTTACTTCAGAGAGAGAGAGAGAAACGCACCTGGCATGTGGCGGGCGTGGTGAGTACGCTGCTGCTGCACGAGGTGAACTGCATGGCGGTGATTTAGCAGCCAATTTTAGAAGCATAACAATTACTACGTACTGCTACCGGTACCTGTAGTACTACCGGTACTACTACGTAGTACTTCGTATCAGTACATGTCGAAAGTATAATTTTACAAGGCCCAGCCTCGAAAAAGTATCTTTAGCCAAGTTCGTCGTTGAACACCCTGAGGGTTGAGTGGTCAGGGCTCTCCTGGAGGGTGTCCGTAATTGCGTTGTGTGAGGTAGAGTACTTCTAGGTACATGCCCCCGTACCGGAATAGTAAGGTAGGTAGTGGTAATATTTATAGACGTCGGCCGGATATATAAAACGCAACGCTTGGACCCGGAGACCTTCTTACTTTACGGTAATAGAAGTAAGGTGCGGCGACGTGCTCCGTACGTAAAAGGAATTACATGTAAAACATTCGTTTACCTAATCGAGAATACGAGACATGTTGAGGAAAAGCTCTCTGTCAAATGCTAGCCTTGGGTTTGTTTCAAACGCGGAACCGCCAACTCTGTGGACCACTCTTGAAGACATTTGAAAGCAAAGAATTTTGTTGGTATGTCCATACAGGTAGGTTGTGTACACACGGGGTAAAACTCAATACGAATAGGCTCAGTAATATTCCTTGAGTTAAGTCTAAAGAGAAGAAGCTATTCTAAGTGAAAAAGGAAGTACTACGTAGTAGCAGCGGTGGTGCCAAGCTAAGGCTGCACGGGCTATTATGTCTGTCCGCTAACTCCGATCCCGAGTCCTTAACGCCGGAAATGTACTTCATGTATTTTCAAAAGCCAGTCGCTGAGGCCGAAGCAAGCCCTTATTCTTTTCTACACGCATCTATCGGTCCACCTCTCAAGACAACGCCTCCTTTTGATCAGGACCTCTATCTATCGATATGATATCTAGCACCGCTCTCGTCGCCGCAGCTGTCTTTGCCGCGGCCTCTGCCGCTCTCGTTACCACTAGAGAGGAAAAGACGATCAAGTCCTGCAGAGACGCCGGATTAGTCTCATGCACCGATGGCACTTGCACCCCCACCCAATGCAGCAAGACATCTTCCTCTTTCCGTGCAAAAAATAAATCTTTTATTGGAACCGACCGGAACGCTTACGTACAGAAACTAACTTCAGAAAAAAAAGAAAAAAAAAAGGCGAAATGAGTATTGATCTCAATGATGCCGTCACCTCTCTCGGACCCCTCGGCGCCGCTTGCGAGTACTTCGTGTGAGCCATTTCTATCTGTTCACTCTGTTCAGCACCACGCACTCCCAAGCCCCACAGAGACAGACAGACAGACAGACATATGAGCTGATGAAAAAGTAGTGATCCCATGTATAGAGGGTCTACCATATCTTTCTCGCCGATCGGGCCGTTTCGGAATATCAATTCCTACCATGATAATGCGATTACTTCTTTTCGGTGTATGTAAGTAGGGAGCAGGCTTGCAGCTGGGGCTGGAGCTGGAGCTGGAGCAAGGCTGGTACCGTATATACTTCTAGAAGCAGAGTAGAAGAAGTATCCAACTATTTACATACTTCCTGTACACGGAATACACACCTCGGCTCCTACAGCAGCCCCAAAGACGGAGCGAGATTTAGCCCCCAAAAATGTGGGTGGTGTTTATGCTCTCAAAGAAAGTACGCGGGCTACATACAACCTTCAGAGCCTTGAACTGCTGTCGGTATGATGCAGGATAGAGAAGGCGTTTCTTTGGTCAGTCAAGTCACGCTGGGCTGTATCAATTACAGTGGTGATCTCCCAGAGTTGAGGGATCGATCCTCAGCAAGTCTCCGACTTATTCTTTCCCCCTTTCTCCAAGCTGTCGAGTTGGAAGATAAACTGAGCCGGATGGATGTCGTGTCGTGTCGTGTCGTGTCGTGTCGAGGAGGAAGGAGAGGCGAGGGGATTAAGCAGAAGCGTAAGCGAGGAGCATAAGCGAGGAAGAGTCCAGCTGCCGACTAGGTCGCATTCACCTGCCTGCCTAGACAGGCTACTTACTTCCACGGGCTACCGTATATACGCGAAGGGAAGGTCGTCGCTGGGGAATTAACACGCCATAGACCTTGTCGTTCGTTCGTTCGTTTATACGCGTATATCCACCCATCCATTTATCCATCTATTCATCCATCTATTCATCCATCTCTCTCCCCCTTCTCAACACCCATCAACCAACACCAATCAACCAACACCACCACCACGTCCCCAATCCCTCACATCACATCACATCACATCATCAAATACCCACTACCTACCCCGAACATGGATCCCACCCTCCGCATCCCATCATCGCCACACCACCACTTCGCTCGCTCACCCTCCCCAGTCATCCCTTGCAAACAAACGACTTCTATTCTCACACTGGTTGCAACACCCAGCACAGCACAGCCCAGCCCAGCACAGAACCACGAAGAGCGCTCTCGCCTACACATCGATCGATCGATCAGCGCCCGCTCCTCAGACGGGAGAAGACGAAGACGAAGACGAAGCTACATGTCAATCATATCATATCGCGCAAGGAGTTCTCTTCTTATGCGCTCAGTCCTTCATTTACTCTTTACTTTGTTAATGTTTGATTCTTCAATTCTTTAATCTTTTAAATCTTTTAATTTGCTACTGCTACTGTTACTGCTACTGTTACTGCTACTCTTACTACCATCGAGCTTCCCTCCTTCCTTCCTTCCTTCCTTCCTTTTTTCCTTGGGAAGAAGTGTCATGTCTGTGCTGTGCTGTGCTATGCTATGCTATCAAAGAAAGTAGCGGAAGAAAGAAGAGAAAAAGAAGAAGAAGAAGAAGAAAAAAATGATAACCCATCCGCCCCCCAACCGTCCAGCTCTGGAACATCCCCTTTCGACTTCTTTATCGAAGCCACGCGAGCGAGCGAGCGAGCGATATCGATCGAGATGGCTGATTCGTCGTGCCATCTATCTATCTATCCATCTCTGATTCTTGCATAAGATGGGGTAGGGTGGATAGGGTAGGGTAGGTAAGGTAGGGTAGGTAAGGTAAGTGCTCTGGATTGTGTGTATAGAGTATACCTATGTATAGTGCAATCTTACTGTACTGTACGTATCCGATGATACCTCCGAGCCCATATACCCCATCCCTTATCTCCCCCCATCTCCCATCCCCCATCTCCCATCTCCATCTCCCATTTCAATCGACAAGCCTATCGCCAAGCCTATCGCCAAGCCTATCGCCGTCAACGTCCCCTCCTCGACTAACACCGTCCTTTCCTAAGCCTTGAAGCTATGAAGCAGAGTATACGTACACACACGGTACGGTACAGTATAGTATAGTACAGTTCAGTACAGTATAGTTCAGTACAGTATAATACAGTACAATGCAGTACAGTAAACACAGTACAATACTATCCCATAGACGGCAACGGCATATGTACCTTTTACCCTTCTCTCTCCGCTCGAGTTTTCGGCCTCGATTATACGATCGCCTGCTTTCTCGGCGTCAGATGAGAGGATTTGCGATTTGCCTGGTCCTGGGACTGGGGTGGGGGTGGGGGTGGTTGGTATACGGAAGAGAGGAAGGAAGGAAGGAAGAAAGGAAGAAAGGAGGGAAAGAGTCTCCTCTCCCGAACCAAACTAAACGGTGGGTGCCTCTTACGTGACGGACGTTCTTGAAAAATCCTCTCTCTCTTTCTCTCTCGCCCGCTCGCTCATCCGACGACCATATCCGCGGGTATTACAAACTACATTTGACACGGGATCTCTGCATCCGGTTCAACATCAGATTTCCCACTCATCAAGTCTTTTCAAATGACAACATCGCCCCTCTTCCGCATCTCGCCGACGAGGAACTCCCACTCGGCCTCGCTGACCTTGCTCACGCTCATCCGGGCCAGCTTCAGCATCTGCATGTTCGCCAGCGCGCCCCCCGGCTCCGCGTGCCACGCCCGCAGCTCCTTCAGCGTGATGGGCGTCGTGAGTTTCTGCCGGAAGGCCACGTGCACGACGGACCATTTGGGGTCGGAGGGCTGGGAGGAGGCGTCGTAGTAGGGCGCGGACGGGTCGTGGGCGGTTACTTTGGCGGGGGTTAGCAGAGTTAGCAGAGTTAGCATTAGCAGAGACTTGATGTTGGGAGGAAGGGGAGGGGGGAGGGAGTCACGGGGGGAGGGGGAGGTGAACGAACAATCAGGCGAATGCTCGGCTACAATCTCCATGGTGCCCACGATAGCTGGGACTTTGCAGCTCGAGTGGTAGAAGAATGCTAGATCGCCTTTCTTCATGGCGCGGAGGTTGTTGCGTGCTAGATCCGATCAGCTAGTTTTCTTTCAGATGCGCCCTCGTGATTGGGCTATGGTAGCCGCCGACCTGCAAAATTCCGGATTCCTGCATCGCCCGTTAGCTTTCACTGGAGGGAGAGGGAGAGGGAGAGGGAGACAGATTTGGCTTACCGTCCCAGGGCTCCGGCTCGGTCTTGGCGGCTAGGTCATCGATGGAGAATTTGATGTCTTTGCCCTTCTCCATTCGCGATTCGGGCTCGGCTTTCAAGAGCCAGTACTGGCGGCCGCTGGGCGGTGATGGGTCGGCCGTCTCGGGTTTCCGTGCAGCTTTGGAGGTCTTTGCTGTCGTGGAAGGCTTTTTGGGCGCCGTGTTAGACTGTGGATCGATGGTAGGCACTTTCTCAACTCAAGATGGGGAGAGGGGGAGAGGGGGAGAGGGGAGAGGGGGAGAGGGGAGAGGGGAGAGACAGGTGGTAGCGAACGAGGGCCGGTCACGGGATGGAGGAGATGGAGAGTGGTGGGAACCTTTCAGTTGCATCGAACTTACAGCCTCCTTCTCCGCGTCATCATTTTTCTCGCCATCCTTTTTCTCGCCATCTTCTTTCTCGTCATCTTCTTTCTCGTCATCTTCCTTCCCTCCCTCTTCGTTCCCTCCCTCATCCTCCTCAGCCTGAACACCAACATTTTTCTTCGGTGGCCTCGCCTTTTTCTTGGCCGACGCCGACGCCGACGCTGACGCCGACCCCGACCCCGACGCCGGTTGTGATGGCTGCTGTTCGACGGCGCGCGCTTCCCGGGTCAATGCCCTGCGGCTAGATCTTCGTGGTCGTTGCTCCTCCACTTGTTCTCCCGCTCCGAGATGCTCTGCTTTCCTCTTCGGCGGCATATTTCTCGAGACGTTGATCACGACGATTAGACGAATGCTCGACGCGTATCGTATCTCTGTGTTCGACCACTGTCCACTGTCCACTGTGGTACGGTACGGCACCTTCGCTGTCGACGTTACCCTCTCTACCTACTACGAACCCTGGGTTTACCGGTAGCAGGGGACCCACGGGAAAAAAAGGCCTAAGGTCAAGCAAGCTTCGCACGTGATACTCGCTTAAGCTTTTTCGGGGCCGGACTAAATTGAATTCCCAACTTCAACACAGTCGCTGCCCGACGCTGATACGCTGGCAAGACGGAAAACCTTGTGACAGGTCTCGTCTCTTTTTGGCGGTGGTCCAGTGGTCCAGTCGTCTGGGCCCGTTTGTGCAGTCGCTCATCTCGATTCAGCCAGATACTTGTACGTGCGGGCTACCTGACATGAACACCTGGGCTTGCGTAGCGGCAACGGGGGATTGGACGATGTCTCATGCAGGGAAGCTCGCCGCGTGCATCTGCATCCCCGCCAATCTTTGCTCTAGTGTCCAAAGTCAAGCACGCTGCTGGCTGGCTGGCTGGCTGGCTGGTAGGACGACTAGCAATTTGATACTTGGACAAGTATGAACTTGACTAGGAGGATCCACGGCCTGAGCTGCCGCAGATAGCCAAGAGGGAGAAGTGCATTCGGATGGGAGCGAGCGAGGGAGGGAGGGAGGGAGGGAGTGAGTGAGGGACTCAGGGACTGAGTGAGGGACTAAGGGACTGAGTGAGGTGAGGTGAGGCGAGAGCTCAGCCAACCGGCAAGGGCCCCCCCCCCCCGGAATGCCCCTCCTCGAACTTTGGATATCGACTTCGGATCTCAACTCAACTCAACTCAACCCCACGCGGATCATAGTCAGATGGCTGCCAAAGAAAACAAAAGAAAAGAACAACGAGCTGCCTGCCTGCCTGCCTGCCTGCCTGCCTGCCTGCCTGTAGCTAGCTGCTAGCTGCTAGCTGCTAGCTGCTAGCTGCTAGCTGCTACCTGCTACCTGCTAGCGCTAGATCTCGAACGGGACAATGCTCCCAAGCAGCGGTACCCACTACGGTGGTGGTGTGTGTGTGACGAGCCATCTCATCAACTGGACTGCATGGGACTCGGATCGTCGTCGTCGTAGGACTTTTACCGTGAGGCCAAACGCATGCAGAAGCTTATCCGCGTGCCTGCGCTTGACACGAAGAACGGGACCTGATGACAGCGAGCGGCATTTGTGGTTATTCTACGTAAGTAAAAAAAAAAAAAAAAAAAAAAAAAAAGAACTACTGGCCCCTATGCTGCTATTGATGGCTCGGCACTTCTACATAAGACGGTCCTCCCCACTTGCGTGTCGCGGTGCCCTTCCTCTTCTCTTCGTTCTCCGTGCCCGATTTCCATCTCTCTTCCCTCCTCTATCCCTTGCTTTGCGTCTCCCTCCGTCCCTCCCTCCCCTCTCTCTCTC